TACTAAAATAATTCCTTTTAATTCTTCGCCTCTTTCAAGAACCCTTTCTTGATTAGAGTATGTCTGATATAGGACAGAAGATCAGCTGTGTAAGGAACTTCGATAAGACATATACCTTGCTCCTTGCATATATCCTGCTTCTTCTGATCTCGTAATTTTTGTTTCTCCAAATCTATACCCCTCTCCTATGAAACATTGAATTAAGATGATAGTGTTGAGGACCCTGGAATTCAGAAGCAAGATGCAATTCCTCGTTATAACCATCCAAATGCATCCCATTCAAAAATAATGGTCTACAGGGTGGGAATTTCTTTCTTAGCAGATCTTCAAAAATATATTGACACTTGCGTTCACCGCTAGTATGATGGCATAGAGGACACTATTCGAATTTTTTCATGATATACTTTAATGGATAATCCCATTAATGCGCACTATTTTTACAAGACCAAAGATATATATCATGACCATTTATTTCTCCAGTCTTTCCTAGACATTGACCACCACGCTTCATGGCATAATCCTCAGCCTGAATTGACTTACTAGAAGCATGAACATAATGGACGAATCCAATAGGGTGGTATTTCTGCATAAATTCATCTGGCGGATACTCGATTTTATCAGGCTCTTCAATTTCTTGAAGTTCCTTATATTTAAAGGGCCTTTTGGAGTTTCGTCCTATCAGATGAGCAGTTGATTCAATAGGTTCATCCTCAAGATAATATAAGACTAGCTGTGGTGGATTTTTCCCAATAACAACCCTTTTTATCTTAAAGACACGTAAGCTCCAATATGGATCGGTTGCTCTATGTCTATGGTCTTTTTCCAACTCGCCTGTTTTTAACAGATATCTAACCGCTGTACCTTTTTGTAATTTTATATTTTCATCTTTTCTGATTGCACGCTTAAGTTTTTTAGAAGGCTTTGACTTAACTTCTTCCAAAGTCATAGCATGAGCTGGTGACATTCCAATAAGGCGAGTCTTACCGTTATTCAGATAATTAATATACTTTTTAAGGGTTTTCTTAAATACTCTTGATCGCTCCCCATCAGTTAATCGTCCCTCTATAGCATATTGGACCTTATATGTTAATATTGCTATTCTTTTCTTAAGCGCTTTAATAAAAGCCAAACTCTCAAAACTATAAAGGTCAACAACATGTATTGGGACATTATATTGTTCCATTCCTCGTGAAAATGCACCTCAGAACAGAGCATCACCATCAGTCATTAATAATTTTGGCTATGTAAGGGGATTAGAAGGGTCCTCATAGATATCTTTAATCGCAATCCAGATTTTTAAGCTATTTCTTGATGTTAGTGAGCGTCCATCCTTAAAATGCATTGCCACGTCGATAACTAGGAAAGTACAAACAAATACCCATCCATCATCTTGATCATGAGTGTGAAGTAATATATCGCATTGATGGACTTTGTTCGGAATCTTAATCTTTGAAAAACTTGCCTCGGCTTTACATGGTAATGGCTGTCGATATATTTGGTAACTATATTGGTGTTTTATCCATTTTGTGATATTCTACAATCGAAAAGAATATCCTTTCTCCTGACACGCTTTATGTAGTTTTTTTGCATTGGGATAAAAACCAGGTATATTATAAAACAGGAGTCTACAGACTATACGGAGTTCTTCATTGGGATCTATTATAATTTGGGGCTGACTCATTCTTGAGGTGGGATTATTATGATAATACTATAAATTAGGATGAAATACCATGTTTGATCCAGTATATTCAGAGCTTTTAGATACGAATCAGGAGCTTCGTAGTGAGCTTCGGGGTGAAGTTTCTATTAATAAGAGTAATGAGAAAAAAATTTGATCTCTGGTAAAAGAGTTAGAGCAATGTTATTGAACTATCTCGTTACAGGATAATACTATTATAGCCCACGAAAAAGAAATAGAGAAACTTAAATCAGAAATATCTGACTTGTGAAAACAGCTTAGAGTTTTACAGCGGGATAAAAAATTCAAAGATGAGGTTGGGTCTATTCAAGATGATCAAATCATAGAGCTTGAAAATAAGGTTGGGAATATTAAAGCAAGAATTAGGATTCTTATTTATAAAAAAATCTCAATAAATACCTTAGATATGACAACAACTAATCTTATTGCGAATGTTAATAGAGGGTTAGAGTAGATAGAAAATCATATTAAAGGGGCTGGTACGCCTATGCAGAATCCCACTAATATTATAGAATGTGATCAATATCAGAACTTATTACATGATTCAATTATGCGAGTAGATAATCTTAGGAATCAGTTTACTGATAGTGGAAATCAGAATTTACGGTTACAACGTTTATTAAATGAATCTCGAGTTCAGGCTGAAAGAACTGAGAGAGAAAGGGATGCAGTTATAAGGGAAAGAGATAATGCTCAAGGAGAGTGGGACTTAGTTATGCTAGCTTATAATAATGAGAGACAAGAATCCCGTCATTGGCGTTTCTCATATCGGGATAAAGATAGGCGTATTCAAGAATTATTATGAGAAAAATTTGCTAAACTGCTATTATATCAGCGAAATGTCAATCACCTTCAGCAAAATGCCCGACAGTTGCAAACCAATGCTCAATATCAGATAATAGGATGATGGTTATTTTAGCAAGAAAACGAACTCACATTGGCGAATTGCTACGTGAAAAGTTTGTTTTTCAGCTAGCGATTAGGCAAAGAGATCAGAATATTTTAAATTTGCAATAACAAATTTTAGCATTACAGAATAACCCACCTAATATACAATATATAGGTATAGCAGGATATATACCGCCAAGTTTTAGTGGAAATTATGACGAAGATATCGACTATTTTATCAATGAATTCAGAAGGTATTTAACTGCTTCTGGAAACAATTTGGCAAATAATGCAGATAGGATTAGCACACTAGGCTTTTTTAAGTTATGTTTAAAAGGTAAAGCAGGTGAGTGGCTTGAAAGAGAGATAGCGGGAAAAAATTGGGAATTATCCAATATTATCTCTACTGTAAATCGTACTTTGGCATAATTACAAGGTAATGGATAAGCACGAATTGTAGGACATTTATCACCTACAGCACCAGCTGGACTTAATGCACAACTTGTGGTGGCCGATGCTGGTGCTGGTGCTTTAGTGATTCTTAGACATACAGTTTTCAATGAAGATTGGACGCCAGCAGGAGGTAAGCCAACATCTAAAGTTCTCTGTGCACCAAATGCAAATTTGGCAAATAGAATAGTTATATTAGCTGACATCACTCTCGGGCAATTAATTGATTACTTTAAAAGAAATTATCCAACAGTTAGGCAACAGTATCAACAAGCATTATTTGGTATAACAGTGCAAGAAAGTGATTCTGTAGTACTTATTATACTAAACTCATGAAAATTGCAAGACACGCTAATATGGGAGATGATGAATTTCACCGTAGATTTCTTGGTGGACTTTTTCCAGATAATCAAATGGAGGTTCGTCGCATGGGGCTTAATAGACCTATTAATGAAATCTTTTCATCATTAGAAGAGATTGAGAGATATAAAGCTGAATTACTTTCTGGTGCCAATCCTCTTCTGCAATCCCAGCAACACACACATTTCTCCCAATCATATCCATTGGCCGAGATTGAGAAGTTAAATTCTCAAATTGCATCTCTACAAGTGCAAATAGCTCAAACAAACCAAATGCGTTCTCAGAGTATTCAGAAGTCTTTAGATAGAAAGGAGTTAGAGTATTTATATGTGCTTGCAGAATGTTTAGGTGCACCACTAAGTTTGCTTGAAACATATAATAGTTCAGCTCTTAATAGTTATATCAATGAGGAATTAGAAAGAAGATTAGGAACTAACAATGCCTTCCATGTTAAGGCTAAGCTTTTCAAGAAAGAACCTTTTTTAGATCCTCAAATTTATGCGGTCAAAAAATCTTCTCAGAGTAAAAGTGGTCATAAATCCACTCACAAGTCTTCTAAAACAAAGAAAAAGAAATCGAAAAATAAGTCTAAGAAGAAAAAATCCAAAAGTGGTCGAGTCCATATGGCTAGAGTAGACAAACAATCAGATTCAGATTCTTCTGACAGTAATACTTCTTCATCAGAGTCTGAGGATAGCTCTTCTAGCTCTGAGAGTTCTTCTTCTGAATCAGAGTCTGAGGCTAAAGCTAATGCTGAAATTAATGTTAATATATCTCAGGTAAAAAAAAAGTGAAGAAAGGACATAGTCCTATTACCTCCTCACAGAAGAAGAAATCAAAGACTCGCAAATCTCATAAGGTAAAAGATATGGAAACATTCCTTTTAGCATCAGTTCCTATTTCCAAGAAGGAAAAGCAAAGTTTAAAGTCCCCACCACAGGACGAACAATCCCGCTTAGAAAAAATCATTGAGAAAATTATTGAGAAGATGCTTAATGAAAAGTTTGGTACTATCACGACCCTCCTTCACCCACAAAACGATAATTTTAAAACACTGGCCGATTCTGAGGATGATGATTTCATTGATGGTCCTATGGAGATAGACTTTATCTAAAGAAAAGAACCTGCCACAGATGTTGCAATGGTAAAATGTAAGATCAAACGCTTGGTAATCCCAGGTGCTGTGGTTGATCCTGACGCTAATTTTCCAATTATGTCTGAGGATATAGCCAAACGATGTTAGCTGCAAAAATTAACATTATTAAAAGATCATCAAAATTGATCTACAAATTATTATTTGACTTAGTTGACAAATATGACCAATT